TTGATGAACGGCCTGTGGTGGGAGGGGGCTAGCCCGGCTCAGCTGCGGGGAGGAGGCTGATTTGGAGCCGAGGAGGGTCTCGCCCCGGCTCCTACTCGACCCAGCCCCGCAGGGAGCTGCGTGACCGGAGCCGTGCGAACAGGCGTGCTTGTCTGGCCAGCGTGCAAGTTTGTGCAGGAGGACAAGCAGGAGGGCCCGAGGCCCTGCCCGTGCGCCCTAGGGAAAGCAGTCCCATCAGCAGCCAGCCTGCCAGCGGCATGAAGTGGATGGACATGTGCCACAACCCGAGGGTCCCATCGGGGTCTGCAGCCTCCCGCTCCAGCTCCTCGCAGGCCTCTACCCAGACGAAGCCCATGGTCCTGGGCTCCACGCGGACAGAGCCCCTGGCTATCAGCTGCAGGGGCTGCCTGTCTCTTTTTCAGGCTCTGGGGTCCGGGAGCATAGCCACCTCCCCTTGTGGGGTCTGCTCCCTTTTGGGGTCTTCGGCACACCAGCTGGAGGAGCTCCAAGCCGCAGTCCAGAGACTGCGTGCCATCAGGGACTGCGAGCAGGAGATAGACTCCTACTGCTAGGCCCTTCTCCCCCGGGCTCCCGCAGGCAACACGGGCTCAGCTGTAGCTACCGTCCCCACTCTCCCCAAGACAAAACGCAAAGTGTCTGTCATGGGAGACAATCCTGAGGGGGACGGAGGTGGCAATCTGCCGCCCTGACCCCTTAGCCCGAGAAGTCTGCCGCTTCCCAGGAGCCCGCATCTGAGACATCGCAAAGAGGATCCCTGAGCTCCTCCAGCCCACTGACCCTATGCTCCTTATCCATGTGGGCACAAATAAGTGCTCCCAGCTGGGTCACGAAGCTCTACAGAGATTTGGGAGCAGCCGACACTAGTGTCCAGGGTGGACGACTACAGACCCAGTCAATGGTTGTCACGGGAGACTTCATCTACCCAGACATTTCCTGGGAAGAGCGCTCAGCCAAATCCAAATAGTCGCAAAGCTTTCTCTCGTGCATGGTTGACCTCTATCTGACAAAAGAAGTCAACGGGCCGATGAGAGGTAAAGCGCTGCTCGACCTGGTTCTGGCAACGAGGGACGACCTTATCAGTGACCTAACGATCGAGGGGAAGCTGGGTGACAGTGACCATGAGCTGATCACCTTCA